AAGGAAGATATACCTGTGATCTTATCTGCAAAAGAAAGGTAATACCATTTTGTATTAAATCTGAATACAACAGGTGTATTTTACAGTCCATATACATGTACTTGAAATATATATTTAATGTAGGTCCTAATGTTTTCACATTTTGGTAACATGTCATACTCAGTTAAATATATGACCCACGTCTAAGTGAAAGTTCGATTCTTAATGTGCACCGAAAGTAATCCTAGCTGCTCGGCCGTTTCCGTAACCTCAAACTAACTCTTTTCCGGTTACGGAAAAGGACGAGCTTGACCAGAGTGAATCTGACGTCACAGCGGAAGTGACGATGGGAGCGTCTGCAGTGCCTTGTAAGATCGGAGGAGGACGCTGTCATACACCTTGTCGTGTTTATCTCCAAAAGTAATTTATTGTCGAGCGTTTCAATCTTTGATTCAGCGATTTTTTTTGCTGCGGCGATCGATGCTTCTAGAAAGAGAACAGCAAGGTTAGTGAAAATATCGGCGTGGTGGAAATGCCAAAGATTAACCTCGAAGGGTAACGTTAGCCTATAGGCTAGAATTCAGTGATGGAAGTAAGATTTACGCTAGTTTGCGTGGAATTATGTAATCTTTGGGAGTACAGTGCTTGGATAGTAATTGAAAATCGGACATATGTTGTCTTTGGTGCGTTCTTTACATTGGATCAGCGATCCAATGTAAATCCCCGTTAGGGTTAGTTGTGCCAGGCATGACTAACCCCCCCTATTACGCGTGCGCCAACTAACCCTGTTGACACAAAGGGAGACTGACTAAGCCCTGGGACTAAGTCAACAAAACAAAATAAAATACATAAAAAAAAAGAACACCAGCACCATCAACACCTTAAAATACAATAAAATACCTAATATATAATCAAATGGAAATTAAAAATAAAATTTAAAATGACTTTAACAAAAATTAAGGTATGAATGACAGGGATGTTGAAATCATTCCTTGAGTTTCAACTCAGCCAGTTATTATGAAGAAAACTCATATTAGTTGTCAAAGATAGTATGGACTAACCCAATATTTATGAGAAAATTCATGTTAGTTGTCTAAGTTAGTCGCTCTAAACACAACAAACAGTAGAAATTCTTGTTAGTTGTCTAAGTTAGTCTAACTAAGGGTTTTCTTCCTGAAAACCCCAAATTCCAATAATCAAAATAATTCCAAATTCAAATAATACACTGTTATACCTTCTTCTTGGTGGCACTTAAAAATGAAATGGAAATATGAAAAGGAAGAAGAATGTGTAACAAATTAATTGATGTATGCATATTCCATGTTTTGTGATGCTTTCCATAAATAATCACACAAAGTTTAAGTGAAGTGAGGTGGATGATGAGAAAAGAGTTGCAAGCCTTCTCTCTTTTTTTATGTATCAGTCGAAAATGATATATTTAAAAACAGCTCATTAAGAAAGAAGGATTACATTATTGATAACATATGTGCATATTAGAATACAAAACTAGGAAAAATGTGTGTTGATCCCAGATTTAAAAAGAAAAAAATGGAAAGGGGGGGGGGGTTCAAGCCCCCAAGTGCCTGTGTCCGTGGCAACCTTATTTATCAAAATCGAAAAACTGATACACAGAATTATGTCTTAGTGTAATCTACATGTGTACTGAGTTATATTAAAATTGGGCTAAAACTGTAGGACCTCCCAATTCAAAACCATTCCTAATGTCTTGTTGTTCATACTTAAAAAATTCAAGATATACAACTGTAGATACAATGGCAAAACTGTTCATCAACATCAAAACTGATATACATGTACAGAATTAAGGATCCTAGTAGTTTACTTCTGCACCCAGTTATACTGAAATTGAACCAAATAGACCAAAACTGTAGGATCAAAAACCTAAAGAGCGAATTATGTTGCTTAGTGCAATCTACTTGTGTACCAAGTTATACTGAAATCAGACCAAAAATTTAGGAGGAATAGCATTTTGAAAAATTGTTTACAGACAAACAGACAGACAATGGACACCTTACTATTGCATCAGCTATGCTGGTCTCTGACCAGTCGAGCTAACAAAAACATGCATTTCTAAGTGTTCTGATAAATATTATGTTTTATCCTGAAATTTAATGCAGTGATCATGCATGAATGGACACCTATACATACTGTACGTTGTATGTACAGAATGCTGTATGTTCATTGATCTTTCAGCCAGTCTCTTAATCTTTAATAAACATTTACTGTAATGCCATTAATATATAAAGTTATCAAGACAAACTACAGTCTATAGCTGGTTCACTGGACGTAAAATTCAAAACATGCAATTCTTACTCTTATGTAAACAGTTTTAAGATCAAAAGATGAAAATATGAGCCAATTTCCACACCTTAATTTATTTTAATCATTTTAGAACTTGTGAGATTCTGTAGACAATATACAGATGGACACAAAGTAAGACAACAAGCAGAGTAACTATATGTATACTCCACATGTCCTTACATAATATCAGAAAAAAACCTGTCATTTGCAGTACCCCTAAATAACATCAGAAACTAAATCACATGCAAAATTGTGCTATGTAAAAATATGCTGTCACTTTCAGTACCCTTATAACGTCAGAAATAAGAATAGAAGTATACAAGCCTGACAACAAATTCAGCATCACAAATACTTATCTACTATAGATGTACTTGATTTCAAAGGACTGGCAAAGTAAATAAAAGGCAATCGATTTTTGAGGGGATATGAATATCATATTATGAAATGATAATAAACTCCCTAAAAATTGCTCAAAATCATATCCACCCCTTCTTATAGAGCAGGAAATCTTCTGTTGATGATATATATTGATTCTGATTTTGGACAAGAGATCAATATTAAAAGCAGCCAGTTCTTTCACCTGTAAATGGACTACATTTCCTGTTATTTTCATTGCTGTCTACAGATCCACTATTTGTTTATTACTCTGGTCACTGCATACAATACCCTCAATGATAGCATATATTTACATCATCATCAAGTCATTACTGAATAGGTGTCCAACTGACAAGGAAATGAAACCCTGTCTTAGATATCAAAACACAAAGATTCAACTGTAATTATGTGATAAAAGATGCAGTTTTTGCACAATCCATGTGCAATGATTATTGCCCTTCAGTTTTATCAGTTTTACTCGTGTCCGGATCATGCTGCCTGGATTGGAAATCCAGGCTGGACTTACTGCTACAGGAATTTGGAGAATCCAGAGGATTTCCTAACATCAGCTGATTTGTGTGCCAACATCAACACCACAATGGCAATGCCCAAGAATGGGAAGGAATTCACTGATCTCATTGAATTCATGATAATAATTGATAAAAAGAGTGCTTGGATCTACTTGGCAGCTAATACTTCCACTCCACACAGTGGAAGGGTGTTTCAGTGGATGGATGGAGACAATCTTACAGAATCTTTCTGGGATACAAATGAGCCCAGTGGAGATGGAAACTGTGTGGAAATACACACAGCAAACATGGCCTGGAATGATTTGGTGTGTACTCCCACTCAGAGGAATACCATTTGTCAAGCTCTCAATAATGTGACCAACACAACTGAACAGTTGAACATCACTAGTACTATAGCTGAGGGTTTAACCACATCAGACTATGAGCAATTCTTTCCTAACGTGAATACATCTGGAAACCTTACAAATATGACTCTTGAAAATGTCACAATAGCACAGAACTTAACCAATACCAGTAACCAATCAACAACAGAGACAGTCTACAACATGACTGAAGTCTACAGCACTTATCAATCTCCCAATAATGTGACCAACACAAATGAACAGTGGGAAAGCACTAGTACCACAAATGAGGATTTAACCGCATCAGAGTATGCATATGAGCAATTCTTTCATAACATGAATACATCTGGAAATAGTATAAATATGACTTCTGAAAATGTCACATTACCACAAAATTTGACCAATACTAGTAACCAATCAACAACAGAGACAGTCTACAACCTGACTGAAGTCTATAGCACTTATCAAGCTCCCAATAATGTGACCAACACAACTGAACAGTTGAACATCACTAGTACTATAGCTGAGGATTTAACCACATCAGACTATGAGCAATTCTTTACTAGCATGAATACATCTGGAAACCTTACAAATATGACTCTTGAAAATGTTACAATAGCACAGAACTTAACTAATACCAGTAACCAATCAACAACAGAGACAGTCTACAACATGACTGAAGTCTACAGCAGTTGTTATACTTACACCGTGTGTGATGCCAACAGATCATTAACAACATGGGAACTAGAGACTAAAGTAGCCAACATCCGAGCTAATCTGTCCCTGATCAAGCATGAGCTATCATCATCTATAAGGAGGAAAACCAGCGCTGACGATTCACGGCCCACCTCGGTGTCTATGGGGGTTCTGGGAGGGATCCTTATCGGATTGATTTACCTGTTTATCTCTTTATTGGACTTTATCCCAGGCTCAGTAAAGTCAACAAGTATTAAGATGAAACGTAGGAAACATTTCTACTGCTAATGAGATCCAATAAATTGTAATAAAACACTGTTGTAACACAGAAAAGACAAATGAAAGTAGAGATGCAAAAAAAGTATTATAAATGAATGCTGATTCCTTGTAGGTTAACATGTATGGCAGAAGAGTCAACTTGCTTGTAACCTAGCATATTAAGTTTGAATGCTGGTCATTTTTGGTGCAAAATATGAAATACTTGACCACAAAATGAAAGCTTTGGCTAAAGTACAAACTGATCTCTCAAATAAGTGCAATGTGCTCCATGAGCTGAAAGGTGATAATAATTCATCTAAATAACAACTACCTGCAGGAGATTGCAGGAGATGTTTATTTTGCAATTAAAAGTGGGTTTTTCGTTACCTCACAGAAGTGTTAATTACTAACCAGTAAAGAATTTACTTGTTTTCCAACAGGACTGCTTTGAATATTATTTTAATTATTGTAACCTTTACTTGCATTAGGTTTTTCTACTCACCTGGACGCTGATTTGATCAAATCAGTCAACTTGTCTCTAACCCTGCAAAAAGAAAAATAAGACACTTGTTTATTTTAATATTAATCCGAGTGTTTTGATGCAAAATTTTTCTCAGAGTCACATTATATATATATATATATATATATATATATATATATATATATATATATATATATATATATATTTACATTAAAACCTCATTATCTTGTACTCAATGGACCGAGGAAACACTTTGAGATATCCATGGGTTTAAGATATTGAGGGTAAATTACTTAAAGAAAAAGTGCTTGGGACTTCGAAATCACTTTGAAATATCTATGGTATTCAGATATCCATGTTCGAGATATCAATTTGAAAGAAAATGTTTTGAAAAAATTAAGATCTCAAGGTAAATGATGCTAAAGAATGCATGAACTCTTGAAGCAAATAAGAGGCCCAAAGGGCCTTTAACAGTCACCTGAGTATACAAAAGTATACGATAAAACAAAATAAACTGAGAAGATGAAGTTATATGTTGCCTAAAAGCAGGAAAAATAGGATGATCAGGGATCAACAATATAATAAGTCTAGTACTAAGAAACAAATCTTAAAGTAGATCTATATACTTGCTCCCATTTGTGATCATGGTTTGTTCCTGTCTTTCACACATTTGAAAATTAGGGGTAGAAAAAATGTGTGTAAAACAGAAATTTTTCCATGTAAGATAATTACTGTAGATCACTAAATTTTGGTGACATCTTATTCTTGGGGGATTGATGTTTGGTATTTTATAAAGAGAATCAAATTTTGGTTATTGCTCTTTATTATCTTTAGTAGTAGAATTTTATGCAAGCATGAAATCTTCATGAATAGACTATATAGAATAATTATGTGAAAATAAAATTATCATAAATAAAAAGTGATATACAGTACTTACATGTAATTCAGCTATAGTCTGTATTTAGTAAGAAAATAAAAAAAGAAACCAAGACCTTTTATAGCATATTACCATTTATCTGCTCATAACAAGGTTGAACTAATCTTAAAACATAAAAAAAAAACTATAATTATCTGATTTCTTCAGCTTCCACTTAATTAATTGGCTTTTATTAAGACCAATAAGTTAATTTTCCACTCATTCAAATTTATTTTTGATATGCTGTGGTTTATAACTATTTGATGAATTCTTCTTTTAAACTAGAGTGTTCCAAGGAACGCATGTGTTGCCTGCTTTGTTAGCTTCATTAAAGGTGTAAATAAATCTAAGGGTGATCAGCTTTTTATTCACTATAAGCATGATAGACTGATAGTTCATGCATTTGCCTGCAAAGAAAAAATGGCATCCATGGATAGAATGACTGTGATAGAATCTGACAATCAAAGAAAATATGGTTCCATAACCCTCAAATGAAAAATTAAATCAAAATTAACAAAAATAACTATTTGTCATTTTATTAATACCTGTTTCCAACAATCCTCTAAAAGAGTTTTCAGTCTGTCTTTACTACAATTGTCAGTCCACATTGTTGAATACTGATCCCAATGTATTTATATGGTATTTAAATATAAGTTTGTGTGGTAACTGAATATCATACATTTTCGAAGTACTTTTTCATGAGCTAAACATGTTTCCAATAATCATTCAAAAGAGATTTCAGTCTAGCTGTCTTTACCGAAATTCTCAGTCTACACCATCCATTGTGGCATACCGATCCCGATGTATTTTCATAGTATTTAAAAATATGTTTGTCTGAAAAATGAATATCATACGGTTTTAAAGTACACTATCATGAGCTCATAAACATAGATATATGCTAATTATCTAAATCCTGCATCTCAAAATTCAAAAGTCATAAGTTTAATAATGTTCTTGACAGACATGCCAAAGTTAAATGTAAAAGAGTTAAAAGTGAAACTAAACCAAAAGGGCTAACGAAGGAAATAAATGAAGGTAGACATTTACGAGATTTTTACCACTATAAGGGGGATTTTGAAAATTTCCAAGCATGGAGAAATAAAGTTGTACTCTTGATTGACAATGCAAAAACTGTATTACAGATCAGCAATCGAAGATAGTTCAAATCCTAGAGAAATGCGGGGATATCTTAATCAGTTGGCATCTAATTCTAAAACTTTTACTCCTACCCATATCATTCATAATGACTCAGAAACAAACAATTCACAAGAAATTGCTAATATATTTAATGAACACTTTACAGGAATTTCAAGTAAACTTTTACTTAATCTTCCAAACTGCAGATTTAACCCAGAATTGTTAGGACAATTCACAAAATCTAAACTTGGTAATGAAAACTTTTTTAGCCTTACACCAATTAGTGAAAATGAAGTACCGGTAGTTAATTTGTTGAAGGGGCTTGATGTCAATAAATTGGCAGCCATTGACTTCATAGGACCTCGTCTCCTAAAACTATCAGCTAGTATCATTGATAAATCAGTCACTCATTTAATTAATACTGGTATCAGTAATGGTATTTTTCCATTGAAGTTGAAACAAGCAAAAGTCACCCCTGTATACAAAAAGAGCAACAAAGCAGACCCCGGTAACTACCGTCCCATTTCTATACAACCAACATTATCTAAACTAATTGAAAAGCACCTAGCAAACCAAATGCGAGATTTCACTTTTGATCTTATAACAAAATTTCAATCTGGATTCAGAGAATTTCACTCTTGTCAAACAGCACTTACTAAATTAACTGATGCTTGGTTGCATGCTATGGACCATTGGGTAATCTCATAGGCATAACATTTTTGGATTTCAGCAAAGCTTTTGATTTAGTGAGTCATGACATTCTTATAGATAAATTAAAGAATTACAACTTTGATGAATTGTCAATTAAGTGGTTTCACTCGTATCTGAATAACAGGACACAATGCGTTAAAATTGGTACATCTTCTTCTGATGTCTTACCTGTCACAGCAGGAGTGCCACAGGGATCAATATTAGGTCCCTTATTGTTTTTGTTGTATATTAATGACCTTCCCTTACATATATGTCATACAAAAATTGATATGCTTGCTGATGATGCAACTCTGCATGTTTATGCATACATGCCAACTTTCCCGATTTTTTCGGGAGTCTACCGATTTTTAACCCCATCTACCGCTTGTCTACCGATATATTTTTTAATCCCATTTCTACCGATTTTTAGGAATTCCGGATTTTTTACCGATCCGCTTTGAATAATACCGCATTTCCGTGTGAAAAAAGATGGCAGTTCGAATGTTTATCGGTAGATATCTGTTTATTGCCGCTGATAACAGGTAATCAACAAGGTGTCAACTGTGCTACCAGTCATTACTGTGGTTTTAATTGCTCCTGATTCTCATTAACAGTGTATATTAACCTAGACAATCATGCCAGATGTGGAAATTTTAGAAATACACACGACAGGATACAAACTTGTGACGAGTTCACACTTCACAGCAAAATTTGACAATATATGTATAAGCTGTTAATTATAATAAAAGGTTTTCAAGTTTAGGAAATACGGCATTGCGCACTATAATTACAACTACGTCATTGATCATGGAAAAGACACAGCCAAAATAAAACTTGAAAAGATGCGTCTGCAAGTACAAACCGTTAGTTTTTTAGCAGAATTCCAGGAGTGGTTCACAAAAAGTAATGAAGGCCTTTTACAGACTTTGTATGAAAAACATTAAAAGTGACTTCTTCTTAGTATTCCCTTTGATTAAAAAAAAACAAACAAATTGTGTGTCTTGACTTAGTAGCTTTATAAAATGTGTAATTTACCAACAGACAAAGACAGTTACTGCATGAACTCTTAGTAACTTGCTCTAGCTTATTTGTAATTAAGTTTAACATCCCTATCCATGTAATAATCTGTATGTGTATGACATTGCATAGGGCGGGGGGTAATGTTGATCTTTATATTAACATATTAAATAATTTTGATTAAAATTTTCCTTTTTTAAATTCCAAATAATAGTGTGTTTTTGTTGAAGTTGATAGAGAAAAAAAAACTTTTTGAAGTAGTGATAATATATGATACAAGGTATTAGACTAATATTTAAAAAAAAAAAAAAAAACCAACAAATACTTATTTTCACGACAAAATGCCGCGAATTTAGACCTTTGAAAAATGTCGTTACGCGCAATCTCCCCCAAGGAGATTTTAAAAAGTTGGCATGTATGTTTATGAGAAAAATATATTGAGTATTGAAACAGCTCTAAATTCTGATTTAGTAAATATTGAAAATTGGTGTTTAGAAAATCAAATGGTTTTAAATGTTGATAAAACAAAATGTATGCTGATGGGAACTCAACAAAGAAAATCGAAATTAAATAATCCAAATCTCAATTTACATGTCTCTGACAAACACCTTGACAATGTTGAAACAGAAAAACTACTTGCCAATGGGGTACATATAGATCAAACGCTAAATTTTCATAACCATGTATATATAGACTCAGTCTGCAAATCTTTAACATATAAATTATATACCTTGCGAAAAATCAAGAAATTTCTTCCTCTGAAAACTAGAAAACTGTTTTACAATGCCTTTAACCTGCCTTCTATTAATTATTGTCTGACGGTCTGGGGTAATGCACCAGCTAGTTACTTGGAGAGAATTCATAAGCTCCAAAAACGGGCCGCTAGAATTATTCTTGATGCTGCCCCTGATGCTCCATCTAAGGCATTATTTGAAAAATTAGGCTGGCTATCTGTTTTTGATTTAGTAACTTTACACAAATGTATCTTGTTGTACAAAATATTTAACAATCAGAGCCCTGCTTACCTGCAAGATTTATTTATTTTTCAAACTTCTTATGCGTTCAGAATCTAATTTTGACCTTCGCCTTCCAAAACACCAAACTAATTTGTTTAAAAATTCCCTCCAGTATTCTGGTGTTCATATTTGGAACAGTTTGCCTTTAGATTTAAGATGTGCACCAACTCTGTCAGTCTTTAAACGAAATGTAGAAAAATACATCTTCAACAATAGAATTTCATTACTCTGATTTATATCTTTTGTATATGTATATTGTGTCAAATCTTACAAATGTATATTAATTT